TTCAAAGGAAGAAGATCGTAATCATATGTAGTATTCTAGATAAAGTACTTAAAGAGTACAGAGGTGTTATAATAAACACCGGTATGGGTTATTCCAATTTGCAGGTATAATCTAACATTTATACGAAAAACTAAACGGGACAAAGATATCAATGATATGCTAATTCGTGTCGTATATTTAAGATTTGAAAAAGGAATTGCGACGACTCGGCACACCTGTTTATTAATGCCTTGGTGCAATAGACATTTCCATCAGAAACAGTTTTAAAATTTCACACATTCACACATTTGACATTTTTTTTAACACTTATGAATTAATTTGCGGAACTCTAGACTATGCTGTCTTGTGGTAATTTTACAGCAACACTTAACTGTGACATAAACTGCAATATCGAATAATGATTAAGTTCTAAAAGAAGTATTTAAAAAAAAAATATAATTAAGTCGTGTATTTTAAATTAAAACCATGAATTCCAAAAGGAAAATCTATTATATTTATATATTTTGTCTGTACTTTCAGAATTCGTCGGCATGGAACTTGACTGAACAAAATGGCGTCAATGTAAACTATAAACATGTTTTTTTAATCATAGAAAACTCATTGTTATTAGGCCTACCATTTTCATAAAACCAACACGAAGTTATAGAACAAAGGTTAAGCTGAATCGTATTTTGTCTGAGACAAACAGGCCGTTAGTTTTCTCAATTGAAATGTTTCATATTTTTCATGTCGGGGCTGTTTCTAGCCGACTATACGGTTTGGGTTTTCCTCATTTTTGCAGGCCACTTCATTTGAACTTTGGTGGACAGTTGTCTCATTGCGTATCATACCACACATATCTCCTTATTTTTATATAGAGGAAATAAGTCTGTATTTTTTTATGACCACACATATAGTTTATCCGGTGTACATGAGTACATCTGAGCCGTTGCTCACAAGTCTTGTGTCAGAACAAACTTTTGGTTTTACTCCAGTGCATGTATAGTGCTTTCTTTTAGGTTTTATGATCTCGTTAATTTATAACAGAACTGTGTTTTAACATTATTATGAAAAGTCTTTTATTAGGACGTATCAGTGTATAGTGCTTTCGTTATGGTTACGATGACTTATTTCGGAGGAATATGTTTTATTATGCAATCGAAAATTGTGTTTTAAAGTTATTATTAAAAGTCTATTTTGAATAAAACTATTTTTATACTTTTTACCTGTATTTACCTGTATTATTGGCGCAAATGAAATGTTTTATTTTTGGCGCAAATGAAATATGGTTTGTGGCGCAAATGAAATGCCAATTGGCGCAAAAGCAAAGCACCGGTTTCCGATATAAAGCAACTTGGTAAACACAATTTATTCTGAAAAAAAAACAATAATGTCATATAATTGTTGAGGAAACAATTTTTCAAATTGTTGAGTGACTTGTACTTAAATGGCTTCATGGTGTCAAGAAATATATCATTTGAATGTTTAAAATTTGACAAATCTTCATTTATCAAGGCTTATGAACGATTAATTAACTGTAAAATGAATATATGTATTAACAAGAAATAATTTTAAGAACTTTCTCTTATATATTCAAACAATTTTAAACAAATTATTTGTGACTTTTTTCCCTATTAAATTTGTGACTTTCTGTCCGTTTACCGTTTCTACCTGTCTTGGTTTTTATCCTCCTTTATGTCTTCTCAAGGAAGATGACACTGTGAATTTAGCTGACCGATAAATATAACAGGAAATGTACCTCCGTTAATATTCTTTGAATTATTTATCATACTTCTGACCGAAACAGACATGAATTATCGCTCCGCGAGAGTCCCAATTGATTTCGAGCCGCCTTTCCATTCCTTTTAAATATACAATTCCTTGTGTAGACAAGAATATAAATCATGACAAAAATCTTCTTTCTGTTGATCTTGTTTTGTTGATAATTTTTTCTGTTTGCAGTTTTGAATAATTCTCTCTATTTTCTATACTTGTTTCTGAAAACACAAAAAAGGGCAAGCAATCGTCATTTGAGGATACTAAATCTTATAAGAAGACATATGACAATTTCATCTATAGTGACCTATTTACAGATCATATTTGCTTTTTCTTGTTATCTTTCTGATATAGAATTTAGGATAGTAGGCAACAACAAAATAAAAAGTAAAAATAGTAAAAATTGTCATTCAAGGGCAAAAACTCCTTTGAAGAGTCGACTGGCGATTTCGGCAAAGTTGACTTCTATGTAGATCTTGTCTTGCTGATGTTTTTTGCCATTTAAACTTCTACCTATCTATTATAGTTTTCAAGATAATTTGCAAAAACGCTAATAAGGGCAATAACTCCAGTAAGGAGACGACCGACGATTTCGGCCATGTTGCAGATCTTGCAGTACTGATATTTTTTTTATCTTAAAATTTCCATCGATTTATAGATTCTTATTTAACTACAAGAAGACGTATGATAATATTGATATACATTGACAGTAGGTAGAGCTCAACATCCTGAACATTTTATGTAAATTATATACTTTTCTATTCGACTTATACTTTTGGGTCAGTCAATCTAAACAATGGATTGCATATATAAATTTTACAGTTCCTGGATCTAAAACGGTATTTACAAATCAGTGCATATTCAAGCTCGATTTTTTCCAGTAAACTAAGTCTATTTTTCATACAGTTCAAGGACAGATTGTCTCCGGCACTGTAGACTTTAGTATACGATCGCGCCAATTCTATGGTAAAATTTGATTTGATTTTTTACGTTTTACAATTGAATACTGTTTTTTTTTTGGGGGGGGGGATATACTAGCCTATAAACAAAACGAAAGCAAGTAACGACAGCAGTTGATTTGTCATCAGTTAATAGATCTTACACATACCAACAGAGAAAATCAACAATATTATGATATATACTTTCATTATCTTTAAATAAGACAATATTGAACAACTTTGAAAACATGATCTTGTATATCGTCTCTCGAATATCATTTATTTTGCCTTTATTTTACAGACTATTCGAAGTAGTGACGCTTTTACTTCTGTGAAATAATCTCATGTAGATATGACATGAAATATGTGATTCTTTGATCATCTAAAGCATACGCTTGCAGTATAGTTTATGGTTGTACACCACCAGCTTATCTGTATGCATACGGTTATTTGCTACATTGTACTCAATTTACTTAATTTTCCTTGTAATATATATATACATGCAATCTTCTGCTCATAATTATGCAATGGTATGTGCTAAACACTGAATCATTTTACTTTGCAATAAGTGCAAAGCTTGATAAATTTTAATACATGCAGCCTTCTCCTTTTTTAACAACTTCTTCCCTTTAAACTTAAATAAGAAATAAGATAAAAACAAATGTTTGCGTTATAACGCAAAGGGTTGTGTTATTTCGCAAATATAGGAAGAAATATAAAAAAAAATGTGGCGCTAATACGCTTCCGTAATGTTGAATTGGTAACCTTTTAAAATAAGTTTATTTAGATGATTGATAAGTTTACCTGGATCGTATCTAAATTTCCGGGCTCGGTAAGCAACAATTAAAATAGGATGAGCTATTCCGTTTAAAATAAGTTGTCTACAGGACTGGTACAGCCGAACTTGCAAACCAAATCTTTGTATCCATGGCATGCCAAGAAATCCTCGCTAAAAATTCCGGTCGACCTCCTACGGCATCCATTAGTAGTTAAAGATTTGATTTCATTCAAAAATTAATTTATGACCCGCGTCTCACTTAAAACACAGCCATATACCAAATGGTCAAAATTAATCATCCATGTAATTTGCTCTATGGGATGTTTGCACAATTTCAACGGAGGCAATTTCTTGGCATGGGAGAAAGGAAGAAAGACCATTCACAATTTGTCTTACATTTGTTTTTCTCTCTTTCAATCAAATAAAAAAAAATTAAACCCTTCAGATGTAGAGTTCATAAGAAGGAAATATTCCCTGTGGAACACCCCCACCCCCTCCCCTTTTTTTTTTGTGCTCTCTTTTTTCAACCCTCTAATCTAATTAAAATTAAAACTTTGATTTCTAACCGATCTATTCATGTACCGGACCGGCAACTTTTTTTTATTTAATAAGAAAATCTACAGTGCCGTTATACACATGCATGTTGATTGCTTGGAGTCCCCGCCCGAAAAGAAAGAAATAGTCTAACTCCAAGATACTATATTCCTGAATCACGTGATTTTTACTACGTAGAGCTTAAATTAGAATAAATACCGAATATGGAAAGTGAAACTACAATTCATAACATAAAGTCCGTTAGCAAATAGAAGAAAAAGAAGATTATTTTTGGCAAAGGGTACCGGGATAATCCTCTTTGTGTTCAAAATATACATGAAATATTTGCCACTGCCCCTTGTCTCGGTTCTATGAATGTTTACCCTGAGTTTTCTATCTGTTACATGCCAAGAAATCCTCGCTAAAAATTCCGGTCGACCTCCTACGGCATCCATTAGTAGTTAAAGATTTGATTTCATTCAAAAATTAATTTATGACCCGTGTGTACGTCTCACTTAAAACACAGCCATATACCAAATGGTCAAAATTAATCATCCATGTAATTTGCTCTATGGGATGTTTGCACAATTTCAACGGAGGCAATTTCTTGGCATGAAGAGTTTAGTAAAGGTTTTATGTCATTTGTGGTAACGAAATCCCTGACTTAATAATTTACCAGTAATACATAGATTACGTTTGTATATGTGAAATATCATTATTGCTTAGAAAGATATTTCCAATTTTCTGCTTAATCATTTCAGAAGTCGACATCGTTGAAATATATTTATTATTTACAGTCTTAGGTCTACACTAGTCTGAATAATTACACACACTACGCGGCAATATGTATAGATAGGAAGTTTAGCACCTTCGGGCAATCGGTTTAATAATCTTTGTCTAAACAAGTATACTTTCATATAATAATACATAATACCGGTTTGTTTATTACGCAATCTTTGTTTATCATGTTTATGGCACAGTCCAGTTATCTGATCTGGGTGGACGACATGTGTTGTATATTTACAATACAGAAAATCGTTGGCATTTATGATGATTTTCAAGGCAGGTCTTGAGGTAAGTTAACCTATATTATTAGTGTTATTTTTACTATTAAAAAGGCCGTAGACAAATTAAAATTGTTTTTGAATGTTTTTTTTTTTAATTATATATTCAAGTAGTATACACGCGTGAATTTTAGTTTTGTTAATATGAAAATATTTAATTTTTTATGAATATCTATAGTCAATCACGTACCTGTATAGATAATTTTAATTATTACATTGAACATATGTATGGCTTGTGCACACAGAACAGTGGCGAATCCAGGATTTTCAAAAGGAGTAGAGGGGTTCAGAGAATTATTCTGGTTAAAAGGGGGACTGGTAGTCAAAAGTGAGAACCTGAACAAACAATCATCCACAGAGGGGCCGCGGGCCATCTTCTGCACTCTGGAAACGCCTATGCATAAACTTTATTTACAAATTATGGTATACAGCTAGAGAACTAGGATTTTTCGGCATAGTAATTATAACATTGAACCTCTTTTTATGAAATGTAATGTTTCGTTGTATGTGTTCTCCTTAAATTTCAATGAATGTATATCAACATGTATTATTTTTTTTTTAACTTTAAACATGCATTTGTAATATATGCCACGACATGTTATTTCTATTGTTCCGCAAATGACTAAATGACCATCTATGTATGTAACACTTAATTAATAATAATATAAAAGAAGTGAATGTTGATGTTTTTTTAACAGTTAAAGATTGTAGAAACGAAAAGTTAATCTGTTCCATAAGCTTTTAAAAACATATTAAAACAAGTATTCATGACACTAACAAAATGATTAAATTAATTGATAAAATACTTTATTACAATGAAAAAAAGAAGAAAAATAAAAGACTGTATATTTAATTTTTCTATTTTTTGATTTGTTGTTTTTTTCCTAAATTAAGGGAAAAAATACCATATATATCCATATCAACTATATGATGCAATACTTTTGAGATTTTCTTTGACGTCATGCTTTAAAAGAACATACTAGGTTAACATTGTTCACTTTTCAAATAGCATCATCAAAAGAAATATGTGAGGTAGCGGTTATTCCGGGCTTCAAAGGGTATAAACTTCAGCCCTAACTTTTTAAATATTTTTTTTTACACCAGTAAGAATAAGTCTAAAATCCCCCTTTTACAAAAGAACAATTTCAGTCCTTTTTTTCAAAAGTTATTTTGAGTGACGTTTATCTGTCGGATGCGAGCAATGCATATGTAAAAGTAGGTACCAAACTCTATTAGGAAAATATTTCACAAAATTAATAATAGAGGAATTATTTATTTAAATTTATAATTTCTTGATACAATGATTTATATAGTAAGACTATACACATCATGGCATGTTAATACATAGACAATATTAAAGTATTTACTTGATATAATAACGATCAACGGATTGGGCTAAAGAAACGGGGAAAATGCGAGGTTTCTGCGTAGCATTTTCTCCGTTTCGTGGCAAAGCCGTATATCGTTATTATTTCAAGTCACTACACTTCTTTTATTTTCTCAAGTTGTAAAAATAATTTTATACACATGTTGAAATCTCGTTTTTTTTAATTTTGTTTTTTATAGATATATTTAAACTGCTTTTAGGGGGTTGATCCTAGAAAAGGCCTCTTACTTTTTTGGAGTAAAAAATGTGTGTTTTTAAAATCTTTCGAACAAACGAGTGCAGCCAATTTTCGAATAGAATATCAAAAATACTGAAAGAACGCCATAATATATACAATAAAATTATTTTATCGATAAATAAGAATAACATTTATGTTTTTTTTTTTAAATTCAAATGATATATGAGTTTATGTCGGAGCACGCATCGGAGGTATTATGAATTTTACAGTGGTATTCGCGGATAAAGGCATACTGTACATCAATATTATACACTTTTAAACAGTCAACGCATTTTGACTACTCAAATAGAACGACTGCAATATAAAAAGAAATATAAAAACAACAATGATAAATATTTCTGATTCCAATTTTAGGTAGAACTTGTGGCGGAGAAAAGGATGACGTATGTGGCGCATGAAATAGCAGAGGGGCACCAACTGTTACTTCTGGAGGCCATATCTCAGAAATCATCTCTAAGTAAAATAGATGAGTTAATAGAAGATGGCGCTAGTGTAAACGGTGCAACAAAGAACGGAGTTCGCCCATTACATTCTGCCGTGGACGTGAAATTTGCTGACTGCGTACGTTTATTATTATCAAAAGGAGCGGATGTTAATCTTGCAGACGACAACGGATTCACCCCTTTGCTCTTATCCGCAAGTAATGGATGTTTCAAAGTAATGAAAATGCTGATAGATAATGGTGCGATAGTAAATTATTGTGGTGCAGAGGGAACAGATGTTCCGAAAAGTATACGAGATATGGGCTATCTAACGTATGATCCCCTAAATATGGCCATTGAAAATAATCACGAACAGTGTGTTAAGCTTTTGCTTGGAAATGGAGCACATGCAAATAAACATTACTACATGGGATACGAGATAAATTTGATGCCATTGAATCACTTGTCGTGTTTAGAGTTACTGCTAAAGCATGGAGCAAATCCGAATTCACTTAGTCGATACGGTACAACGCCATTAATGAAAGCTTGTAAGGAGAACATTACAAAAGCAGTATGCCTTCTTATAAAATTTGGTGCGAATGTAAATTTAGGATCTGGTACGTCTTTCAATACGAAAACTCCACTTAATATTGCAATCGAATACAGTGACTTTAATATTGTAAACATATTACTGGAAAATGGTGCCAACGTGTCAATGGAGACGGGTTGTACATACAGTCCGCTACACACAGCAGTTCTTGCGGGAAGAACAGAAGTATGTCAGTTGTTATTATCATCCGGTGCAAGCATTGACGGTGTATCAGAAGACGGGGTTTCTCCTTTGATGCTTGCCGTCAATTCTCCACGGCTATCAAATAGATTGGAGATTATACAGCTATTACTTCATTTTGGAGCAAGTCCAAATTTTTGTCAGAATAATTCATCATATTCAACTGCATCAATCTCCGTTATTGGAGAGTATTTTAAAAACAACCAAAACAAATTAGATAGTAATATATTGTGTTTGTTGCTAAAATATGGTGGAAATATAAATATTCGTGCTTGTTTGCCATGTGGCAAGGTCGATCCCTTTGGGATACTTCCTTATTTGTCTGACTCGTGTAGTGAAGAAATATTACGCCTACTGCCCGCTACAGCTAAGTGTATTGACAGAGAAGCAATCAAGAAAAGTGATAATTTAACCCAAGATCAACGTGCCTATTTGATGTCCCTTACTGTAAATCCACAGCCGTTGATTGGAGTAGTCAGAAATAGTATTATCGATAGTTTTGGTAGAAAATTAACAGACAATAACTTTGTAGATGACTTTGAAATACCAACTATTCTAAAGAAATATTTGATACTTGTGCATCCAGAATATTGAAGTCTTCTGTAAGACATATCTCCTTAGAAATAACTATCAACGTTAAAATACCATAATGGTTGAAGGTTATCACCCTTTTGAACAACATTGTACTTTCGAAAAACTAGATTTCTATTTTTCGTAACGATCTAAAATATGTTGTACTTGCACCTGTTGTTGCTCCAAAACAAATAAATCACGTGTCATCATAGAATATAATATGTCAATCAATTAAAGAAAATCGAAAAAAAGAAAAAAAGGACAATGTTGCTATGCGTCATATTCAGTCTAGTCTTAATTAAGTCTGTTTTTGCTCAGTTCTTATTATTAAGTCGCCAAAACGGAGTTTTGGGGACTTTATGTTTTTGTCCCGTTTCTTCTTCTTCTTATTCTTCTTATTATTATTATTAGGTCTTTCCACTTTTCTGTGGAAAGACCTATTGGATTTCTTCTTCTGATTATTATTATTTTTTTCTTCTTCCGCCACTTTTTTCTGACGGTGCTTTTTTGTTTCGCAAGATGTCGCTTAGATTTTTTGTGTATGATATCGAACAGTTATTGCGATTTTGGAACTGACCCTGTTTAGCGGAATACTTTTTATTGTAAGAGTTATCTCCCCAAATACTGTTTTTCTTGTGTACGCATCTCCTTCGCAACCGTTAAAGATTATGACAAATTTATGTCTCAAATTTGTTCCTTATATCCTCAGGATCTTAAGAATAATTTTGACCGAAGCGGTCCAGAAACTCCATATGAGAGTTATTTCCCCTTCTGTATTTAAAATAAGTAAAATGTAATTGTAATTGGTAAACCATAAGTGATAGGGACCTAGGGTCTTTTGATTTGAGGTCCTTGGTCCAAAAAAAAGAAAATAGGGTCAAGGTCAAAGGTCAAGGTCATTTTTAAATTTGGATTTTGGCTTATTTTCACCTCTTTTCAAACACGATATAAGACATCACATCAACAACATATTTTTACTTAATTGTTAGTTGTGACATGTCGTAACACATACATATCGGTTTAAAGGGTACGCTTACATCAAATTAGAGTTTTCTCCCCTCTTTTATTTAAAAATATGCATATGGTGATATAACTCATGAACCAAATATAATTAAGTCCTAGGGTATTTTGATTTTAGGTCCTTGCTTGAAATTGAGCTCAAGGTCATAGGTTAAATTGACGTTCTAGATTTTGACCTTTGCTTTTACCTCACATGTATACATGATAAATCCATGGGACTTTTTGCATTAGTCTTTAAAGCCATTTTACCTTAGAAAAGCCAACCGGAAGTGACCTTGTGTAAACCAGAAGTAGCTCTTTTTTGTACTTAATTAATGTAAAAGTTTATAGAACCAGATATTTTTGGTATCAGTGTCAATTAAACTTTTGAATAATACCGGAAGTAACATTTTTCAAACCGGAAGTAACAAATTATCTCCCTTATTTAACAAATATTGTATAGAAACCATATATTTTTGGAATCGGCGTACAATAAGCTATGATTTGAAGCTGGAAATGACATTTTAAAACGAATTTTACTATTTTCATATTAAAATACATGTTTTTTTTGTGGAAAGACCTTCAATTGTTCTCTGAACAATTGGTTTTTAATTATTATTATTATTCTTAACCCTAATTTGTCCGACCATTTTCTTCCAAGCCTTAAATGATGGAAACTTTATATTTGGTATGAAGATGGGGTAGTATCCCTAGGGGTGCATTCACTATTTTTTATTTCAAATGGGGGTCAACTTGGCACTATTTGGGGGCCGGAACATGGGTTTTTAAGTCGCCAAAACGGAGTTTTGGGGACTTTATGTTTTTGTCCCGTTTCTTATTATTATTAAGTCGCCAAAACGGAGTTTTGGGGACTTTATGTTTTTGTCCCGTTTCTTATTATTATTATTATTATTATTATTATTATTATTATTATTATTATTATTATTATTATTCTAAACCCTAATTAGTCCGACCATTTTCTTCCAAGCCTTAAATGATGGAAACTTTATATTTGGTATAATGTTGGGGTAGTATCCCTAGGGGTGCATTCACTATTTTTTATTTCAAATGGGGGTCAACTTGGCACTATTTGGGGGCCGGAACATGGGTGTGGTCATTTTTCAACTATTGATTCGCTACTGGTAGAACCTTTAAGTTTTGTGTAATACAAGAGACCGATGTCCAGGTGTCCATTCCACATTTTTTATTTCAGTCCGGGGTCATCTTGGCATTATTTTAGGGGGTCAATTTTCATGGAACATTCTAGAACAAGTCATGTGATTAGTCATGTGATAGTGTTGAATTATTCCTATGTACTTTTTATGTTATATAATGATAGATTATTACAGGTAGCACCATATGTAGCTGTAATTCGACTTTGGAATTTTTAAAATGGCCGCCGTTACCATGGAAACTGCAAAAATGTGAAATTTCTTAAAAATGCTTCAAATTTAATGAGATGTTAACGAGTGTATGTAGATTTGGAATTTGACGTTGGAATTTCCAAAATGGTCGCCGTTGCCATGGAAACAACATAAATGCGAAAAATCTAGATTTGGTCCAATCTTTATGAAACCTGACAGTAATGTGACCTGTCATGTGTAAATGTGCCATCCGACTTTGGAATTTTCAAAATGGCTGCCGTTACCATGGAAACTGCAAAAATGTAAAAAATTCAAAATGCTTCAAACTTAATGAAACTTTACACAAATGTTGACTGTCTTATGTAGATGTGGCATTTGACTTTGGAATTTACAAAATGGCCACCGTAACCATGGAAACACGAATGCCTAAATTTGAAAATTGGTCCAATTTTTATGAAAATTGTAAGTAATGTGACATGTCATGTGTAGATGTGCTATCCGACTTTGAAATTTCAAAATGGATGCCGTTACCATGGAAACAGCAGAACAATGGTTGGGGCCGTTTTGCGATCGACTTTTGTGTTAGCATCCTAACACAGGATTACTTGTTATTATTATTATTATTATTATTATTATTCTTAACCCTAATTTGTCCGACCATTTTCTTTCAAGCCTTAAATGATGGAAACTTTATATTTGGTACGAAGATGGGGTAGTATCCCAAGGGGTGCATTCACTATTTTTATTTCAAATGGGGGTCAACTTGGCACTATTTGGGGGCCGGAACATGGGTGGGGTCATTTTTCGACTATTGATTCGCTACTGGTAGAACCTTTAAGTTTTGTGTAATACAAGAGACCGATGTCCAGGTGTCCATTCCACATTTTTTATTTCAGCCCGTGGTCATCTTGGCATTATTTTAGGGGGTCAATTTTCATGGAACATTCTAGAACAAAAGTCATGTGATAGTGTTGAATTATTCTTATGTACTTTTTATGTTATATAATGATAGATTATTACAGGTAGCACCATATGTAGCTGTAATTCGACTTTGGAATTTTTAAAATGGCCGCCGTTACCATGGAAACTGCAAAAATGTGATTTTTTTTTTAAATGCTTCAAATTTAATGAAATTTTACAGAGATGTTAAGGAGTGTATTTAGATATGAAACTTGACAGTAATGTGACCTGTCATGTGTAGAAGTGCCATCCGACTTTGGAATTTTCAAAATGGCTGCCGTTACCAATGAAACAGCAGAACAATGGTTGGGGGCCGTTTTGGCGACTTTTGTGTTAGCATCCTAACACAGGATTACTTGTTATTATTATTCTTCTTCTTCTTCCTCTTCCTCTTCCGCCACTTTAAATTTGAACTTGTCCGCACCCGTTCCCCAAAACCGCTAGTCAGATTAACTTAGGGTTTCACAATATATTAGACTAACATGTCTAGTGGTGCAAGCAGGGTTTTGTTTGTGCAATAGGGTTTATAAAGGGGTACTTTGAGGGGCGAAAAGAAAGGAGGGTTTTACTATAGAACCCTATGGGATTTTATTTTTTTAAATTTTCAAATGATTATAAATTGAAAACCGTTTGTAATAGACACAATCTTTTTAATTGAAAATGTTCTAAATGATAAAGCACATTAAATGAAATACAGGGTTGGTCCCCAGGGGTCACTCCCACCCCCTGCCATTTAAGGAAAACCTAATATCTTGTAAGTGGTCAAGATCCCCACCCCTAAACCATATATATTCTGGTTTGTCATGCAAAGATGGTTTGAATGATATACAGGGTTAGTCCCCAGGGGTCACCTCCACCCCCTGCCATTTAAGAAAGTTCTTATATCTTGTAAGTGGTCAAGATCCCCACCCCTAAACCTTATATATTCTGGTTTGTCATGCTAAGATAGTTTGAATGATATACAGGGTAAGACCACAGGGACCTGCCATTTGAGAAATTTCTAATATCTTGTAAATGGTCGAGATCCCCACCCCTAAACCATATATATTCTGGTTTGTCATTATAAAGCAAATCAAATGAAATACAGGGTTAGTCCCCAGGGGTCACCCCACCCCCTGCCATTTAAGAAAAACCTAATATCTTGTAAGTGGTCAAGATCCCCACCCCTAAACCATATATATTCTGGTTTGTCATGCAAAGATGGTTTGAATGATATACAGGGTTAGTCCCCAGGGGTCACCCCACCCCCTGCCATTTAAGAAAAACCTAATATCTTGAAAGTGGTCAAGATCCCCATCCCTAAACCATATGTATTCTGGTTTGTCATGCAAAGATGGTTTGAATGATATACAGGGTTAGTCCCCAGGGGTCACCCCACCCCCTGCCATTTAAGAAAGTTCTAATATCTTGTAAGTGGTCAAGATCCCCACCCCTAAACCATATATATTCTGGTTTTTCATGCAAAGATGGTTTGAATGATATACAGGGTTAGTCCCCAGGGGTCACACCCACCCCCTGCCATTTAAAAAGTTCTTATATCTTGTAAGTGGTCAAGATCCCCACCCCTAAACCATATATATTGTGGCTTGTCATGCAAAGATGGTTTGAATGATTTACAGGGTTAGTCCCCAGGGGTCACACCCACCCCCTGCCATTTAAAAAGTTCTTATATCTTGTAAGTGGTCAAGATCCCCACCCCTAAACCATATATATTCTGGTTTGTCATGCTAAGATAGTTTGAATGATATACAGGGTAAGACCCCAGGGGTCATTCCGACCCCCTGCCATTTGAGAAATTTCTAATATCTTGTAAATGGTCGAGATCCCCACCCCTAAACCATATATATTCTGGTTTGTCATTATAAAGCAAATCAAATGAAATACAGGGTTAGTCCCCAGGGGTCACCCCACCCCCTGCCATTTAAGAAAAACCTAATATCTTGTAAGTGGTCAAGATCCCCACCCCTAAAC